GATAGCAGGCTACGCCGGTTTCAAGGGGAATCTTAGAAATCAATACCCGGTAGCACCGAGAATAGTAAACCCTCACAAATTTTTGGACCTGTTAAGCATCAGTCGGGACATCCGAGATGGAAATTTGGCCAAAGGATTCTGTACCTTCTACTTTTTGTACCGACGTTACGGGAATTCCCGTAGCTTCGAGACGCTAGATACCAATCTTACTCACGCGGGAAACCAAGACAAGTGGGAAGCTCGGAGAGGATTAGCTTTTATAATGGCGTTCCTAGGTACTTTTATTTGCCCTAGAAAAGACGGGAACATAGAGTTGGGACTCGTGGAGATAGCCGACTTTATGATGAAAAAGGCAAATAGGACCATAGTGCCGATGATCTTGGCAGAAATTTACCGAGTTGTGACCCTTTGTCGAGAAGGGGAAAAGTTCTTTGAAGGGTGCAATATGCTGTTAAAATTATGGATGGAGGAACACCTTTGCCACCGTCCTGGATACTTGAATTGTGGTATGAGTGGCCTCGAGTGCATTGAAAAACATGAAAAGCGGGTAGAGGGTTATGAGTTCCCGGATGGTACGGAAACATGGCATGCTCATTTGAGATCTTTGACTGCAAATAAGATCGAATGGACATTCGGGTGGCTCTCGGTCAGTGAAGTAATTTATATGTCGGCTGAGGTATGTTTTCTGCTGTTGATGGGTTTTCGTAGTATCCAGCTTTATGCTCTGCACCGAATTCTACGTCAGTTAGGCCGATACTAGACCATCCCACACAATGAGAATTTGAGTCGGCGGGTTATTGAGTTGGAACCAAAATCTGCTTTTCCGGAAGAAAAAGTGCGTCGAATTTGGCACCAGTGCAGATTCTTAGAGCCTAGAACTCAAGTACGAGATCTATCTAGAGGCGAGGTGGAGCCTAGTTGCACTGCGTGGCATGGTAAAAGATCCTGAGTTCATCAGGAGCCCGAAAGGCCCGCAAAGAAACCCCATGTCCAACAATTTACCAATGGAGTATAGGTGCAATGGGACTGGTTGACCAAAGAAAATGAATACCAAGCCACCATACGCAGGCTGGAAAAGCAAGTCATGGACCTTCAGTTTGAGAATGGGTTGCAAGCCGCCGCAGATGAAGGCGAGAAAAAGAAGTTAACTTAGTAAAATGAAGCCCTCAAATCTCAAATCCGGAAGTTGAAAATAGCTGCTCGAAACCCGGAAAGAAGCCAAGCGGATGAAAGGCTCATAAGCAGTCTGAAAAAGAAAGCCCTTGAGTGTCAATATGACCTAGAAAAGTCTGAGGCTAGTCTGGCAAAAGTCCGAGCTCAATTGGCGGAAAATACAAAAGGGCAGGCACAGTTTGTGCGACAAATGAAAAGAAAGTATGAAGGGACAATCACCAGCCTGGAGAGAAAAATGACTACCCTCGAGAATAAGGCAGCCAAGCAGGCCAAGGACTTTAAAGCTGATAGGGAACACTATTATGATTTGATGGCTCGGACGGAGGAAGAAATGCAATAGTTGCAAAATCAACATCTCCATGATACTCAGATGTTAGAAGCCCGGAATCAACAGGTCGGGCGTCTGCTTCAGGAAAAGGGTAGAATCCAAGAGCGGGTCAGAGCCATTGCCGACTACATTGTTGTGAAATGCTAAGCATGTGAGGATATGACTCGCACCACTTTATTCGCGGCCATGATAACATTTGTCTGATAGATAATGAGTGATTTGGAGAGTCTTCAAAGGGATCTTGCATATAGGCCCGTGGCGAGACCGAATGATGTCTCATGTGCCCCGGGATCATTTGAGGAATTAATGTATTCATGATTTTCGTTGGAGTTTGTTAGTCTGTTGCGAGTCTGTATTTTCTTGGAGTCTGTTATTTGGTTTTCGAGTCTATTGTTTTCACTTTTCTGTCAGAGTCTGTTGGTTTTGTTTTGAGTCGGAGTCTGTTTACTTCCCCTTTTGAGTCTGTTAGTTTTATAATTTGGTAGAACGAGTGGTTGTATTCAAAACTGTTTTATTTTATGGAAAAAACTTGAAATCCCAAAAATGTTTTGTTATTTTATTTTTACACTTATCCCCCAGAACTACGCTCGGTCTGATTCATGCGAGGTCGTGATACGTAAGCAATCTCCATATGATTCGACCATAACCAAAAGAAAAAAAGAGATAAAAGAAGAGAAAAAAGAGAGGACAAACAAAGAAAAAAACAACAAGAAAAGAAAAAAGAGAAAAATAAGAAACTATGAGTAGGAAACAATGGCAAAACAAGAGAGAGAAATGAGAGGATAAAAGAGAAATCAAGCATAGAAAGGCATGAGTGAAAAGAAAGGAGAAGAACTTGCAAATGGAAATAAGGAAAAGTCGGGATGACGCAAGCAACCGATCAAATGCATAATAGAAATGGTTAACTGCTTAGGTGCATTCATTCCCCAAATGTGCAGTTGCCTAATCTGTTAAGCTCTAATCACTAACAAGTTTGTTGTTGACAATTCAGCACAGAAAGGTGGTTTGTGCAGTTGTCATTTCTGTTGTCGGGGTTATTTTAGGGTTGTAATCCGGATATTGTCTTGTGACTCAAACCCTTCTATCCTTTTATTTTGCCTAGTTTGTTTAGTCATAGTAGATCGTTTAGTGTTGTCTAGGTTTGTTTTAGGTTTGCAACCCCAGTTTAGCTAGTTTTTTCGTTGTTCAAACCCTTCCACCACCTGTCTAATGCAATTTTCTGTTTTTTGTTATTTTTAGTCATTTTTGTTTAGTTCCTTTTTCTTTTATAGTTCTTTTCCTGTTGACTCTAGTAACATGACATGCATGCGTAACTCTCAGCCTGGTCTTAAAAAGTTAGTTTAGTCATGAAGTAATGAATGAAACAATTTTGAGGATGATAGGGACATTTGAGGAAAATAAGTAAAGGCATTTTGAGATCACTTCAAGCCCGAATTGTGTGAAACTGGGGCGGATAGAACATAAAGAAACCCTATTGAAATGCATTATGCCGCATCAGATTGAAGCTCAAGGCAAGTTTGCCCAAATTGACAGGAGTCGTTCGTGGTAATGAGACTGAGAGTGTTGTCCAATGGTGCTTTGTATTTAACAGATATAGAAGGCGAATGTGTGGATATGGTTATCAAGTCTGGTACAATCAAAAGATGTTACAAATGTTTTCCTTGGTTTGTTTAATTATGGTTTGTACTTGGCATGTTTTGAAGATTGGAATGACGAAGGCATTTTGTTCTGCTATCTAAACACTTTATCTTTCGTTACCCCTTTGAGCCTTATTTACTTCCTTTCGTACTCCTGTTTTGGAATCAGTAGCAAAGATCAGAAACGCAAGCGCAAAAGATAAGTAGAGGAAAAGAGAGAAAAGAAAAGATGAAAATTGAAAAAAGAAAAAAGAAAAAAAGAGGAAAAGAAGAAAGAAAAAATAGCAAAACAACAAAAAGAGAAAAAGGAAGAAAGAAAAGAAAAGAGAAAGAGAAAAGAAAAATCACAACAATAGAGCAATTCATATGACATGAACTACGTTCGACCTGATTCCTTTTAAGAATACGTAAGCAGTCTCATGGTTCGGTCCCATCAAAAATAAAAATTCAAAAGTCCCAAAGCAAGAAGTTGTGGTTCTTGTAAAAAATCTGATTCCGAAAGTTGTAATCTTGAACCCAAATGAGTTGCTTTGAGCCTTTTGATACCCTTTCTTTTTAACCCTATCCAAAAGCCCACGTTATGGCCCAAAGAAAGACCTTCCGATCAGTCTTCGAGAGATGCCAAATCAAGCAAGGAGAGGTAATTCATATCAGGGGTAACACTCTGGTCCAAGCAAAAAAATAATGAAAATGAGAGAGTCTTATTGGTGAAAACCCTCACGGGCACCTTGAGGCGACTGTAAGTTGAGAGAAAGAACGAAATGAGAGAGGCTTGATGGTGAAAACCCTTCGGGCACTACAATTCGAATAAGGATCATGAACCGGATTAGATAATCGGAGCATTGAGGCCCAGTTTCACGGCGACAAGGTACAACAAGAGTTGAACATTAGGGTTGCGTGATAGAATATGCCACAGTTGCATGTCATGGTCATTAGAGGTGGTATCCACATCTGATAGGTTTCTACTTTGTAGCTTTCTTGTTAGGAATCATCTTTTTCCTGTATCCTTTACTTTGTTCCTTTTGTTTTGTTTACTTCCTCTTCCTGAGTCTGTTTGGTCAAAACAAGTAAGAAATGACTTCAAACTTCACCACCAGCTTCCCAATTGCACAAAACGGGATCTGGCTAGCACATCACAGTGTCATAAGTCAGGAAAGAACAACAAGCGCACTGAGCTAGTAACAATCAACATGCTTTGGGATCGTGAAATACAAAGGTTTGGTACATATCAATTCATGAATGATGCAACAGATAGAGAGTTTTAGGTTAATGGATCAAATGTATTTTCTGTGGTGGGATTGATAAAAGGTGTTAAACCAGTGACAAACAGGATCTTCCAATCCAAAATCAAAGTTATCATGGCAAGCGATGGAGCAATAGACCTCAAGGCCAAGGCCAGTGATTTAAATCAGGAAAGAACAACATGCGCACTGAGTGGATGACAATTGATGTGCTTTGGGATTCATGAGAAACACAAAGGTTCAGTACATGTTAATGTAAGAGCATAATGAAACAGATGAATGGTGTTGGGTTTGAACGGATCAGAGGTATTTTCCGTGATAAGGGTGACAGAGAAAGTGGTTAATAAATAAACAGACTTGACTTGCACACTGATTTGACTTACTTCATTCTTTAATTTATACTTTGGATTCCTTGTTTATCAATTGGTATTGAACTAAATCACATATCTTTAAGACCACAATATAAATTTAATTGTTACTCAAATTTTAGGGTAAACAAAGTATGATGTATAATTATACAAATATTAGTTATACACAGGTTAAAAAAATATACTACCAAACAAGATATTAGTAATGCATGGAGCTAAATGTTTGCATTATTTTTTTCTAATACCTTCTCCTGCCAAACGACCCCTAAGGGGTTAAGTTCCCTGCTCCAATATTCATTCTGAGTCAAAGCCTGACACTCTCCCACGCCGCCCCCAAATCGCAACATCTCTTTTCAGCCAAGGTTAGTCTTATGGGTCGCATTTTCTCTTCTCAAATCCCAACTTCTTTTGTTCTTCTATTTTGTTACTATTTAGAAGGCCTTGTAATTTTAGATTTTTGCAGCTTTATTTGTTTTGTACGTTTCACTATCTCTTAAAACATGTTCTATGCTTCCTTGTACAATTTAAGCTGCTGAAACATTAATCTTACAGTAGTCGAATATAGTCTGATGTCTCTGTACAAAAAGCAAATGATGGATGTAGTTTGACAGTTTCAACGTTTCTACACTATTTTTTTATGTAGTTTGTTTATTCTCGTTAACCCTGGTTCCCAATTGCATTTCAGGATCAAACAAATCGAGAAACCCTAAGAAATGATGAGCTCCGTGGCGAAGCATGTATCCACCATCTTCAATCGACCGAACGTAGCCTTGTTGAACCCACTAAGTTGGGAGCAGCAGCTACAGCAATGGCGGGGCATACGGGTGAAGGTGCGGAACAACAACTTAGACCAAGCACTGTTCTTGATGCAGAGGAAAATGCAGTCCAGCGGAATGGAACGCCTCATAAAGCGTGAACAGCTTCACCACATCAAGAACTCGGAGAAGCGTGTCTTGGCTCGTAAGCTCCTTGAACGTAAACTCCGTTCTCAAGACCTCGCGCGTAAGCTCAAATCCATCCTCATCAAGAAAGTCAGGTATGAAAAACAAAGAAGGAATGATTTTCGACTTGGAGTGAAATAGATATAGAGGATTCATACAGGCTCGCGGCAGATGTAGCTGTTCGGTTATAAGTTCATCCAAACCCAATATTTTCGACATGGAATATAAATATATACATGTGTATACCTACTAAATTTTCAATAAATGTTATATCTGAACCCATAATTTTAAAAGTGCAATGAGTTCAATGCTAAAAGATTTAAAGGTCAAATCCATCAAGTTTAAATCCTAGATCTGCCTTTGATATAGCTGAACCCACTAGTTTGGGATTGAGGGTGTAGGTATCGTTTGTGATGTTTAAAGTAAGGAAATGTTACTGGAAGACTAAGAATGTTGTGGATTTTATTGGTGCCAATGGTGGACCGTGTTGGGGAGATAGCAAGCTGGTGTTATGATAAGCACAAGCTAGGTGACATGAATTGATTGCTGATATTGACTAGAATTTCTATTCATCAAGGAGGGCATTCGAAAAAGTAGAAAAATAGCAACTTGAGAACTTGTAGCTGACTAATTTGTGCTATGATAGTGTAGGAAAGATTGCATCGCTCTAAATGGATCTTGTTGGGAACGGAGCAAGCTGCTTTTATGTTAATCACATGCTAAATGACATGAATTGATTGCTGATGAAAAATTTGCGGAGATAGTTATTTCCCTCAATGAGGGCAAAACAGAAAGAGAAAGAAACTTGAGAACTTAAGTTAACTAATTTTTGCTATGATGTGTAGAAAAGATTACATTTAGCTCAGTGCAAAAGAGTTGGCTTCGTAATAAGCTTCAACTGCTTAGAGCGCATTGTTGCATATGGGTGGCTTACCGTGAGGAGTTCCGGTTTGCTCTACCTTCTGTGCACAAGGTTTATTTTTGCTTATTTAAGATGGGTGAAAATTATAACTAATTGTCTAGGAAGTTGATTGACTCATGTTAGCGAACAATCTCCAATTTTTTTGTACGTGAATGAAGTTATCATGGTTTTTTAAAATGAAGTAAGAAATTTCATTGATAAGTATGAAGAAATTGGCATTGGGGCGACACCAATTTCTTCTTCTATTGTTTTTTTCCTGAGCCGAGGGTCTATTGGAAACCGCCTTTTATCCTCACAAGGTAGGTGTAAGGTCTGCGTACACATTACCCTCCCCAGACCCCACGGTGTGGGATAATACTGGGTATGTTGTTGTTATTGAAGACATAATTAAGTAAATAAAAAGTGTGTGCTTTCTAACAGCTTAAACTTTTAGATGAGGTCATAGGTTCGAGTCTCACCGCCACCTAATATCAAAAAGAATTTTCATGTGCTAGGCTCATAAAAAAGAATCAAGCCCGCACATGAGGGACCGTGTTGAAGACATAATTAAGTAAATAAAAATTGTGTTCTCTAACAACTTAATCTTTTAGATGAGATGGTCACACACTTTAACAATAAGTATCCAGAGGATGCAAATGATTACAAAGGGAAATTAGGTCCAGTAGGATGAGACTAGGTAAAGCTTAGGGAGCTAACAAAATCTATGATATATTCGATCGTATTTACATTGTATAAGTTCCTCCAACAAAAAAAATTTAAAAGACACCTAACCTTTAAAGAGTGATTGGAAGTTGAGATTCCATCAAAGCATCTATGGTTTCTCTCTGTCCAGGTACACCAAAAACAAGCATGCAGGAACCATTTTCCAGATATTCTTGATGGCTTTCCCAACTCTCTTCAGCCCCCAGCTTGCATAGCATCTCTAATATTGTAGGGCATTATCCACCGTACCCCAAAAATACACCAGAACATGCTCCAAATATCTCTTCTACTTTACAAAGGAGAAAAAATGGAAGACATTCTCTGCTTTCTACGGGCCCATGTAACAAGTATTGCACAGTTGAATGCAACAACAAAAATAACAGCAAACACCAGTATAATCCCACATAGAGGGGTCTGGGGAGGGCAGTGTGTACACATCATTACCTCTACCTTGTGGAGATAGAGAGGCTATTTTTAATAGACCTTCGGCTCAGAAAAGCATAAACACTATATTAATGAAGAGAATAACAAGCACAACAACGAGAAGCCGTGTAAAAGCAACATAAATAACAACCAAATAGTAAGATGACCGAAATGAAAGAAACGACAGGTAGTCATAGAAATCTAATACCTATAGAATACGAAAGTACGTTCTAATACTACCGGTATGAACATGGAGAACACTAAACTAACTAACCTGCTACCCTAATCCTCGACCTTCAGTCCTTCACGCCTTCCTATCAAGGGTCATGTCTTGTCAGCTGAAGTCGCATCATGTCTTGCCTAATCATCTCTCCTTGATTCGTCTTCGTCATACCTCTACCACTCCTCAGGCCCCCAGTGACAATCTCTCACACCTCTTGACCGGGGCGTCTGTGCTCCCCCTCCTTACATGTCCAAATCATCTAAGCCTCGCTTCCCGCATCTTATCCTCAATAGGGGCCACACCCACCTTGTCCCAAATAACTTCATCCTAACCTTATCTAACCCTGTGTGCCTGTACATCCATCTCAACATCCTCATGTTTGCTACCTTTATCTTTTAGACAGGAGAGCTTTTGACTGGCCAACACTCAACCCCATGCACCATAGTTGGCCTGACCACCACTCTATAGTCTGCTGACACCTTTTTATCACACAAAACACCGGAAGAAAGTCTCCATTTCATCCATCCCACCCCAATACGATGTATGACATCTTCATCGATCTCCTTATTCCCCTATAAAATTGACCTAAGGTATTTAAAACTTACTCTCCTAGGGATGAATTGTGAATCCAGCCTCCCCTCCCCTCCCTGAGTCGCCCCACCGAACTTACACTCTAAGTATTCTGTCTTAGTCCTACTCAACTTGAAACGTTTAGATTCCAGAGTCTGCCTCCACATATCTTACCTCGCGTTAACACTGCCTCGCATCTCGTCAATCAATATAATGCCGTTTGCAAATAGCATGCTCCAAGGCACCTCCCCTTGGATATGGTGCGTCAATACGTCCATTGCCGGGGCAAACAAAAAAGAGCTGAATGCCGACCCTTGGTGCAACCCCATCATGATCGGAAAGTGGTCCGGGTCCCCTCCCACTGTCCTCACCCGGATCTTAGCTCCATCATACATGTCCTTAATCGCCCTAATGTAAGCAGCAGGTACACCTTTAGCCTCCAAACATCTCCGCAGGACCTCCCTCAGGACTTTGTCATAGGCCTTTTCTAGTTGAATGCCTCTTTTGCTAAGGTTATCTTGAGTCAAATAAGCTTGCCAAAGGGTTGTCTCCGTTTAAATATGCATGTGCATATCTAACGTAACAAAAGGTGGGGCTAAAAGGAGTCAAATACTAAAATCATAATGCAGATAAGACCTAAATGTGTGCAATGTTTGCAGGTTGTTTGATCACTGAACTACTCTAGTGCCTTGTCATTGGGTGTACTTTACGTAGTGATGACTGAAGGGCAATTTTATCTGATTGGAATTGACGCTTTCTTTCGTTTGGTTTATAAGACAATGATTTAAGAAGTTGATGTCCATTGCACTTTACCCTTTACAAAAGGGAAGAGCTCAGGTGTAAACATCAGAAGTAACCACATTTACTAACGATACGTGGAATTCATGTATAAGTGCTGAATTTAGATAAGTTCCTTGAGTTGAGATACAATGTATGCAAGTGTTTCGATTCTCTTATCTTTGCTGTGTTGTTATTCCAAATTTAAATATACCAGCTTCAGAGTTTAGGATCTCGCGGGCATTTCATTAAATGAAGGGATGTGACACATGGAGAAATGCAAGCACTGTGTAGTCTATTTGTTCAATCTTTCTATCTTAGAACTAGCATTCGTTCACAAAATGACTAAAATGATTCTGGTGAACATTAGCCATTTCTCGTCCTAGTTCACTGCTCATTGGATGTACGGGATATTAGACATACTAGTCTGTCGTCGGTGCTCTTGTTCTGGATTCACCAAGGGCCAAAAGCTGAGTGGTGCATGGAGAGTGGAGAACTACAGGGCCCAAAGGAATATGAAGCTGAAAGGTATGGTGAGGACAAGGTCATGGGTATCTGGCAAGCTAAAAAAAGGAGGCTAGGAGCTTTCTGTTCTTGGAAGGAAGTGTACATTTTCCTAGTTTTTCTTACTGAAGATCATGGGTTACTCATGTTGTGGAATAAGACTAAGAAAGGATTATCTTGTTCATCGTTGTACTCTAAAATATTAGAGGCAACATAAAGCATGGGGTCCAAGGACAAAACTAGACACCGGATAAAGAGATTCTCCAAAAATGCCATCTAATTGTCATCCACACCACTGAGCAAAAGAAAAAGGATATATTGGGAAAGAAGATCTGTGCACTCAGCTGTTTTCTTTAGCTGACCGACATAATCCTTTTGTCTCACTCGAATCGTGCACAAGCTTAATAGTAGAGCATGAAAATATTGGGGAAATTAAGTCCTTGTAGAAAATTTTAGAGCAAATGAAAGTGATACATTCAGTCAGTAGAAAGCTTTCTACTTAACCTTTCTAATATAAACAACATTTTATAGCATATGCACATGGATTTAGAGGGAATATTGGGAAGCTTTTAATGAGTGAAGCTTTGACACTCCCCATTTATAAGAAGGGTGTAAAAGGGGAAAAACGTAGGTATTGCTTATCTCAAACTTGAAGATAGGATCTTGCATCTGTTGCCATCCTTTTGGCATTGCTTGCTTTCCTTTGTCTTTCAAGTTTTGTGATGTGTGCCATGTATGGAGCTTCACGTCTGTTGCAAACGCCATCCACAGGCCACAGCTGCCTAGGCGAACTGCACTTGAGATGTTTGTCATTTGCAGATGAAATCTACTTACATTTAATTGTAAAATTATATTTTGAGCCGTGAAAAGTCATTTTATGACTCACAATTCTTCTCCCAGGGGGAAAACAATATAACAGGATAATTGCTCGAGATATGCATTTGTTTCCTGTTCACATTTCATGGGTTTTGAAGCATTTTTTGTTAAGACACTCAGCTAATATAGCTTTGCATGATTCTTTGTATTTTCATTTTTTTAGTCAGTGTTCCTTCTGATTAACGTAAAACACTTTTTCTCACATTGCAAATTTCTTGTATATGACCATTCGAAACTGCTTTCATTTGTAAATTGACGGCTGTGACTGCTCTGCCTGCAGGGGTTTATAAAGGAAGATGTTCAGCAGAGTTTTCTTCATCAACTTTCTGGACTTGGCTGGCTGATTGCTACTGAACCACCATTTTCTTGCACCTTGCTACGTGGACTACACTTTTGAGAATAATGTTTTGATTTCTATTAGATTTCTATCATTGATGTAGAATTTTGGCAAGTGTTAGTGGAAGATCATTTTGTTGAAATTGTAATTTTAGTCTGTTTTGTTTATGTAATGCTTCTCTGTACGCCCACATTTGTCAGATGCACAGTTCAGCAGAGTTTTCTTCATCAACTTTCTGGACTTGGCTGGCTGATTGCTACTGAACCACCATTTTCTTGCACCTTGCTACGTGGACTACACTTTTGAGAATAATGTTTTGATTTCTATTAGATTTCTATCATTGATGTAGAATTTTGGCAAGTGTTAGTGGAAGATCATTTTGTTGAAATTGTAATTTTAGTCTGTTTTGTTTATGTAATGCTTCTCTGTACGCCCACATTTGTCAGATGCACAGTTCAGCAGAGTTTTCTTCATCAACTTTCTGGACTTGGCTGGCTGATTGCTACTGAACCACCATTTTCTTGCACCTTGCTACGTGGACTACACTTTTGAGAATAATGTTTTGATTTCTATTAGATTTCTATCATTGATGTAGAATTTTGGCAAGTGTTAGTGGAAGATCATTTTGTTGAAATTGTAATTTTAGTCTGTTTTGTTTATGTAATGCTTCTCTGTACGCCCACATTTGTCAGATGCACCATTTATATTGCTGTTCATACTAATATCAGGATAAAAGATATTCAGGTTCTAATCTAGTCTTCTTACGTAGTAGACCGATTTTATTAGTTGTATCTTTGTGCATATCAAAGTGCTATATCTTTTATTCATCTGCCTACATATATGGAAAAATTAACTTCTTGTATAGCACCTTATTGGAACCTTGTTTTCCTGCATTAGCTATTTCTATTGTTGCGGCTAGCAGGTTTGTGTATTTCTTTTTTTGTGTGTGCTACCTTATAATAAATGTTGGTCTAATGCAGTATTAAGAAAAGAAGAATTAAAGTAGTTTGGAGGGCAAATGTTGGGGGAACATTGGGATATAAGTTTTGATTTCTCTTTAAAATAACAAAGAGAGAAAGGGGGGCGGGGGTAGTTTCTTTGGGTGCTGATCAAATAAATAAGAAAAGAAAAATAGCTGATAATTGTCATTTCACGGGTTGATCGTTGAAATTTCATTTATGAAGCAGCTATCTTGGCTATTGGTACGGCATATCCTTAATTTGGAAGCTTGCTACCATGGCCAGTAAAGATTCAAACCCGTGACATGAGCTTAACCCATGCACGCTTCTTCAATAGCTGTTTTCATCTGTTTCTCTGATACATTTTGTTTAAATTTCTGCTCTCTATATAGATGGTTTATGTATTCTTTTTTATATATATGGGTTCCTTCACATCATATATGAAAATTTTAACTTAAACATATGAACATAGGTTGTCGTTAATGGTGAAATGATCAAGTACTACGACATATCTGGCTGTTATATTCTACGCCCCATGGGCAGTGTCTATCTGGGAGATATTGCAAGTAAGCTTGACCATGAAATGATTTCCTTTTCTCCTGCTGCTTATTAATTGAGGACATTTACAATGGATTCATAGCTCTGTATGTGCAGGTGTTTTTTGATGCTGAAATTAAGAAAATGAAGATAAAGAACTCTTTACTTTTCTTTGTTTGTGTCCCCTGCTGTTCTACAAAAGGAAAAGGACCACATAGAGGGATTTGCTCCTGAGGGGAGACTTGGCACTTTTTTAACTTAAGCCTTATAGTGTCAAGTTTTTCTGCTTTTAGCCTGTGAAGCATATTAGAAGCTAGTATAATGTCTTCTAAATAAATGTTTACTCCACATTTTTCTTACTTTCCCGCTTTTGTACCTTGATTGCTTAAGTTTCCTGAAGCTTTCAAAAGTATCTACAATAGGAAAAATTTTCTTCTGTTACTCATGCCGCATATTGCTGATTATAGCGCTTAATAGTGACGGGGTTTTGCCTTTCTTTTTTTAAATTTCATCATTATAATTTTAGAAAGTCGTCATGAAGTTGGGCCGCGTAGGATTCTGAGAAGTGAGGAATTTTTTTGAGTTATCTTTAGTTTTGTGGTGATAGTAATAACTTCATTGTGGTATCAAGTATCATATCATGGTGTTAAGTTGGTATCATCACTTGTGCAATGTATTGTTCCTTTCAATTTTGATAACTATGCTCACCATGGGCTGTGATCATTCTTCAGAGTGGTTTTGTTACTGTGAGAATGCACGGGAGAAAATATTATTGATATTATTCTCATATGTTAAACATGATACAATGAGCCCTATATATATACACACACATAACATGTCCTACTCCTAATACATATGAGATTATGATTATTTACTACTATTTACATAACTATTCTAACACTCCTGCTCAAGCTGGTGCATATAAATCATATGTACCGAGCTTGTTACATATGTAGTTAATACGAGGACCAGTGAGGGACTTGGTGAAAATATCTGCAAGCTGATCATTCGACTTCACAAACTTTATAGCAATATCTCCCGAGAGTATCTTTTCCCTAACAAAGTGACAGACAATCTCAATGTGTTTAGTTCTCTCATGGAACACTGGATTTGACGCAATATGAAGAGCAACTTGATTATCACACACAAGTCCCATCTGACTAATCTCGCCAAATTTCAACTCCTTGAGCAACTGTTTTATCCAAATTAGCTCACATGTCGCTATTGCCATTGCTCGATATTCCGCTTCTGCACTAGACTGAGCAACCACATTCTGTTTCTTGCTCTTCCAAGATACCGAATTTCCTCCTACTAAGACACAATATCCAGAAGTAGAACGTCTATCAGAAGGTGATCCTGTTGTCCAATTGAAAGTTTTTTAGAATATGGCCGGAACACTGCTCACGCGCCGGCGCGTGGGGCGTGCGAGTCAGATCTCGCCGGAAAATTTCTTCCTTTTCCGGCGCGTGTACATGCATTTTCCGGTGGGGTTTAATGGGGTTTGGTCGCCGGAGCCTGAGGAGTCTTGTGGTGGTGTTGGTTTTTTGCACACACCAACAGAAATTGATGTGATTACGGGCAGCCTTCTAAGTCACCGGAAAATTGCACGGCGACGAGGTCTTTCTTCCCGGAAGCCGCTGGAATGATGCACAACGATAGGTTTCTCACTAAAGCTCTAATACCATGTGAGAATACACGGGAGGAATATTATTGATATTATTCTCATATGTTAAGCATGATAAAATGAGCCCTATGTATATATACATAACATGCCCTACTCCTAATACATATGGAATTAGGGTTATTTACTTCTATTTACATAATTATTCTAACAGTTACAAAATATGGGGACTGAATTGTGTTATAGACGTATTATTATTATGCCCATAATGGGTTTATATCATTCTTCAGGTTGCTTGGGTTACGAAATCTGGTGAGTCTGATTTGGAAGTACCCATTGCAATTCGACCAACTAGTGAAACAGTGATGTATCCTTACTTCTCTAAGTGGATAAGGGGACATCATGACTTGCCCTTGAGACTCAACCAGTGGTGCAATGTTGTACGATGGGAGTTTAGCAACCCTACCCCCTTCATCAGGTGCCCTTTTGAGTTTATTTTTGTCTTACATCCTTTTGCCTTTCCTTTGTGAGCATGTTAATGTGATTCAAGTGCAGCAAATGTTTGCAGCTTAGATGACAAAAACTCCATTTTAATCCTAAATTCTTTTGAGGCCTTCGGGATGTGTGGTAATGATTTGCTTATGTTCCTTATTCAGGAGTCGTGAGTTTCTTTGGCAAGAAGGACACATTGCTTTGGCAACAAAGGAGGAGGCAGGTACCGAGGTATTCAGATATTCTTGGAGTATGCATATCAGCAACTAAAGTTCTTTTAAAACAAAAATTAAACAGTGCATATCAGCAACTAAAGTTATTTGAAGACAAAAACTGAACCTCTTATTGAGCTGCATCTAAATACCTTAGTATAGTGCCTAATTTGATTGCATTTGATGCAGATAGCAATATAGTAACTCTGTAAGATCGTTTTACAGTGAATCTTCCAATTCAGTCTTTCTGTGTGTTATATTTGCTTTATGATGTCAAGTTAGTCTTTCCAGTGTTAATATTGACCATCTAAAAGAATTTTTTTTCTTAATTGTTGTTGGTTTTGTGGGAAGAATTATAGTTGATTTTTATATCAAGACAGAACTAGAAGGCGCTAACAACTTAGCATTTACTCCAAATTACAAGGACTGACCTGCTAACCTGTCTTGACATGAGATGATCTCGGTGCCTGTCTCCATGAAATGAAGATGATACTGACGTCAAAGCAACGAACTTAAGGAACATGGCATTTTGCTTTTTTCGGTCGGAGGGAGGGAGGGAGGGAAGGAAGGAGGGAGGGAGTTTTCTTCTCATTGATTGATCTGCAATTGGGCTGTTTATGAGCTTTGGCATTTATTTACCTCATACAATGTGTTAATAGCTTAGGCCGTTGGAAGGATTGGGAGATAATATATGAGTCATATGGTCTTCCCGCTTCAATTTCTGCCCCGCTTCAGCCAAAGATATTTTGAAATAATCCTGCATCTATGTTTTGTCTTATTTGAACTTGGTGCAAATAAGAAAAAATTGAAAATGTGTATTCAGTTTCAAATGGAGAATGTGGATAAATCAGATTTTGCTCTTTTATTAGGGTTAAATTGGTGAAAATTATATTAAAATGAAGAATGTGTCAGATTGTAGCTTTCTTAGAAAGTGAAATTATTTGTATGATTGCATAAAGGAAAGGGAGTGATCAATCTGTATATAAAAAGTAGAATTACTCGATTGAACTATGGAACATTCTTAGTACGGATATGAAGTATTACTTTAGAGTAATAGGGGTCAGTATCACAACTTACAAATAAGCTACTTTCATGTATTTTTTGCTACATTGGAACTGGTGTTAAATTTTGGGTCAGGTCAACCATAAGACTAGTTTCAGAATTCTGTTCCAACACTTGCAGACAGCTGCCTTCTACGTTGATACTCTATTGTCCTTGTGGATAAAGTATGTTGAGACCTGTATTTCTTTACCTGCTACTTAAACATCAGTGGAGACTACTTTATGTTTCTCTTTGGCTTATCCTTCTCCATTTGCTGTCGATTTCTTCTAATAGTCTTCTTATCTTGTATTATTGGTGAATAAATCTGAGCAAATTAGTGGAAAAGCTTTTGTGAGAATTAGTTGCTTGGCACTAAGGTGCCTTGATTTGGCCCAGAAAAGACTTGCTGCTAAGGTTCCTACTTCTCTGTTCAAGTTCATAGACTATTTTTGCTTATACAATTATGGTCTTTTTCACTAATGCTGATCTTGGGACTATCTTTGGTTCAGGTTCTTGAAATCTTGAATTGTATAGACGTATATATGAATAATTTTTAGCTGTTCCCGTCGGTAAGGGAAAGAAAAGTGAGCTTGAGAAGTTTGCCGGTGGGCTCTTCACGACTACAGTTGAGGTATCCAGGAGCTCATCAAGTAATTGTTATTCCTGTGCCATACAAGGATGCAAATACTCAAGGGATCTTTGATGCCTGTGCTGCTACCGTTAAGAGGTTGAATGAATCAGGTATTCGTGCTGAGGCAGACTTCAGAGACAACTATAAATATTCTCATTGGGAAATGAAGGGGGTTCCTCTTTGGATTGAAATAGGACCAAAAGACCTTGCAAATAACCAGGTAAGAATTCAACTTCCTGTCTTTTCTTTCTAGTAGTCAGTTATTTATGAAAGTTAAAAAAGGACTGAGTAAATTGGTGCTATGGACCTAAACTGTTTATGTGGAAGCTAAAATACACTTATACGTTTGCCTATGTTTTTTGATTCATAGTTCTGATATAACTCCTAGGTACGAGCTGTTAGACGTGATAAACGGAGCCAAAACAGATATTCCCATGGATAATCTTGTCGAGCAACTAAATTTTAGGCACTAGATGTTACAGTTTTATCCCACATTTTAATGTTTTTGTTTGAAGAAATAATTCAAATGTGAAGGGTATAAAAGTCTGTCAATATTTTGAGGATATTTTTGTTGTTCAACATTTAGCATTCCAACATTCTAGCTTTTATATTGTTGTTTTAATTTTGGGGTGGAGATATTCTCTTTTTGCAAGAAGTTGCTAACAAGCCAACGAAATCCATAGGTTTTGTTACAAATACATTGAAATGTAATCAAGGAGCATAAAATAGATGAAAGAAGAGAAACTCAAATGTGTCCGTTGCATTGCAATGATACAGAGAAGAGAAACTCAATCAAACACGAGCCAAAGTTTCAACATGTTTGTACATTTCAAAGCCATCATAGCGAGCTCCATCAATGAAAAGCCTGAAACTAGCAGGCTTCACATCCGCTAACTCTTCGATCTTCCCATCGTTCATGTTATACAAAATGATTTTTCCAGGAAGCGATAACAATAGCCTTGCCTTATCTTTCTCATCATCAACAAAACAAATCGTCGAAAACACGTTCGTATAGGCATATTCTTCTGGTGAATTCATTTCTTGATTCACCATAACAGGGTACAAATTAGGTAAAAAATCCAAGTTAACATGGTACTTAACAAACCACCCAGAGTAATTAACTTCCAGCTCAAAAATATCAAATTCTGTACTTGGATGATCATTATGTTGAATAAGATGCAAGTGCCCTCCACATTCCCCAAAGTATTCAATATTTCTGAGCCACTGTTCTTCAGGAATTGGAGTAGTAAGCATTGGTCTGAAGCTACAATTTCCAACTTCAAAGCACAAAAAGGGGCCTGTTTGACTAACCCAATGAACAGCTCCATTCCAAAAAACACCATAATAGAAGCATAAATCCGCGCCTCCATATTCATTACAATCATAATATTCATTAGAATGCCTCCAATTTCCAGTACCTGATGAATATACTGAGAACCGAAGTTGATTCTCAGACACAGACAACCAAACACAAACAACATCGTAATCACCTGATTTTTCAGGATCAAAAGCTAAATTCATAGTTCTTACTAAGTCGGGTTCGTTGATTGTTTCTGGTAGTGGAATGAACCTATTTTCACCAGTGATGAGATTGTAAATGTAAAACTCCCTTCTCCCATCACTCAGTTTAAAATCTAGGCAAAATAGTCCGTTGCAAGAATTCATACCATAAAATATTTTACCATCACGTATACTGGAGAATCTTTCATTCATCATACTCATTGTGGAGAAATCTTCTTCATGCAAAGAAAGAAAATTGTAAGCGGGGTTTCGGCACAAGAACAAACCAATAGTAGAGGCAGAGGACCGGGCATTCATACGAGTGTGAAGGCGACGAAATTGGGGACTGCTAATAATGGAAAGCCAGTGTTTTGAGACTGTCTGGAAACGAAGTAGAGATTTTGGGGGCAAGTGCAGTAATAATTCAGTTAAGAGATCTTCATTGCTGGCGATGTGTTGAGCAGATTCTGATGAAGGGACTTCAATTTTAATAGAGATTTCGCTGGATAATGACAGGCGTGATTTTACGTCTTTTTCAATGCTCCAACAGTGGACGAAGGTGACTCTGATTATGCCACGATCATCGACATACGAGGCGTCGCTTGATGTGGCATAGGTGTCGGAAATCATGCTGAATTCCTCTGCTCTACAAAACTGATGAATGGGAGATGTTTGATGGCACGATTAGGTGTGAAGGCAAAGTTTGCTATTGCTTGTTTCAGCCTGGTATTCCATTGACTTTCTATGCTATATTCTGTTTGTTTATGTATATTTTGTAGCAGTTGATTAGTTGTAATTGAACGTGGTACATTTGAGGATTTTTTTAATCTCTCGTGTTAGATGATAATATAAAAGATTTCTCTTAAAAGATGATTACTTATAGGAAGTGATAATAGGTTAAATCTACGTAATTTGGCGATTGTTTATGCTCCCACTTGATTATATTCCAATATCATAATATGGTTAATTGATGAAAAATAGGCTCTAATTGTGAATTGTATATATTGCAGGATGAGGAGCCTAAGTGATGCCTTAAACAGTTGTGATTGGAACCATTTTGGAGCAAGAAAGACCCCTCAGAGTTGAGTACGCTTGAAGACGAGGAACAGAAGTGATGAAACACAGAACTGGACATGTGCGCCCAGGTGCGCGACCGCGCTACTTTTAGCGCGTCCATGACAGAATCTCAGCCAATTAGCGCGGCCAGATGCGCGTCCAGGTGCGCGGTCGCGCTAGTCCAAAATCCGGGAAGAGTTATTTAGGGGCAGAATTGGAAATCTGGAGGAACACTCACTTAACCTATATAAAGTCAAGCTCGCCCAAGGAAGAGGTAGGAGGTTTTTCATAGTCTAGTGCAAGAAATAGAGAGACAAGAGGCAAGGAGGAGATTTGACCATCAAGTTCTTCTTTTCTTCTCTTGGTTTTTGCTATTTGGGATGAAATCGAATCTATTTGTGATGAACACTAGCATGAGTAGCTAAAACCCATTGTTCTAGGGTCATAGGTGAAACATGAATATTGTTGTTTGAAGTTCAATTTGACAAAGTTGGTTTATCATATTGGGTTGTTTATTTAATTCTGCTTTTAATTATTTTGCTGAGTAGCTACCAGTGAAATACTATCTACGAATTTTTAGTTGAACTCGAAAGTGGGAACTTTAGATTGCATATAGAATTAAATAGGGCAAGTTCTTGAACCCGGGCCTCGGGGAATGGATTAGCAATTGGGATAGACATATACCCAATTGCCTTGCTTGGTTGAAATACAGGAATTGTAAATGCATTCTTGTTAATCTTAATTCCATAGACATATAGGCATTGAGTTAACTTGAATAGNCTTGTTAATCTTAATTCCATAGACATATAAGCATTGAGTTAACTTGAATAGGCGAGTAAGAACTCGACAGATTCTTATGAGTAACATTAACTCTGTCAATCAACAATCCAGGTAAATCGATTAGTCAGTTTAAGCTAAGAACATAACACGATTGTTAACTAGCCCGTGACCCTGGAATATCCTCTCCTACTGTTTGTTACTCGAAATTGTTATTTGTTTGGTTAATTGCTCTAGTTAGATTATTGCTTGGTAGTTTAGGTAGTAAAACAATTACATCTCTATTTTGTGAAAAACCTCTTGGATAGACAAATTAATTGAGTTTGAATTAGTCAACAGTTAATCATAAGTCTTCGTGGGAACGATACTCTACTCACTACTCTATTACTTGACGATCACGTGCACTTGCGTGAGTGTTTTTGGTCGNCCGTGAGTATTTTTGGTCGCAACAAATTTTTGGCACCGTTGCCGAAGACTTAGAAATTAGCTACTTGACTGAGTTGAGCTTTTATTATTTATTTATTCAAGTTTTAATTTTCAGTTCACTTTGTTTGTGCCAATACAAGTTTTCTTTTCTTGAATGCGAAGAAGTAGAAGCGCAAACAATGTTCTTCCTCTTAATCCCGAAATTGAACGAACACTTCACAGATTGAGGAGGGAGGTGGACGCTAGAACTAGAATTGAAAGAGAGTTGGACATCGTAGTTCAACCACAGCTAATTGAGATGACAGGTAATGAGGAACGCACGGTGATCGAAGCCGCAAGGCCCAGTCTGGATAATATGACTCAGGCTATTGTGAAGCCTGATATCACTGGGCCCTTTGAGCTAAAACAATACATGGTGCAGCTGATCCAATCCACATGGCTATTTGTGGGCTTACCTCATGAAGACCCGCAGAGGCACATTCAAAATTTCTTGGAAATTACGGACACTTACAATTATCTGAACGTTTCCAAGGACTATGTCAGGCTGACACTTTTCCCCTTTTCACTGATCGGGGAAGCTAAGGAGTGGTTGAATAAGGAGCCAGCGAATTCAATCCGCACTTGGGATGATCTGGCAAGGAAATTCTTAATCAAGTTTTTCCCCACTAAGAAAACAAAGATATTGAGGAGTCAAATTCTTGGGTTTGAACAACGAGCTAGCGAGACATTCATCAAGCATGGGAAAGGTACAAGAAGATACTCAGAGACTGTCCTCATCATTGCCAGACGGACGAGGTATTGGGTCACACTTTTGTAGATGGGTTAGATGATGCTTCAAAGATGAATCTTGATTCAACTTGTGGGGGTAGTTGCATGGCCAGACCGTACAGTGAAATTCAAATCTTACTGAATAACTTCACTGCTAATGATAATAACTGGCAAGGTGATGGTGATTCACGAAAGGTTGTTAAGCAAAAATCAGTTGGGTTACTTGAGCTCGACGAAGTGTCAGCCATGAGAGCCGATATTGCAAAGCTGGCCAATCAGATGACTAGGATGACAATGCAGCAACCACAGACAATGCAACATGTACAACAAATGACTATTTTATGCGAACTCTGTGGCGATAGTCATATGAGTGATATGTGCCCCACAAATCTAGAATCCATCTATTATGTGGGGCAACAGAACAGAGGTCCACCGAATCAGCATGCACAATACGAGAATTCTTACAATCCAAATTGGAGGAATTATCCCAACTTCTCATGGGGTGGAAATCAGCAGAATCAGAATCAGCATAGACCCCAAGGGAGTTTCAATCAGCCTCACAGATCACCCCAACAAATGGAAGAAAGTACCAATGATTTGCTAAAGAAGTTGTTGATTGACAATCAATAACTAAGGACCGACTTCAGAAATCTTGAGAGGCAAATGGGGCAGTTATCAACAAATCAAAACACTAGACCTGCATGCGCTCTCCCAAGTGATACAGAAAAGAACCCTCAAGTGAATGCAGTTACACTTAGAAACGGGAGGGAGCTAGAGGAAGTGCCAAAGAAAAAGAAAGACAAGCCCATACCTGAGGGAGAGTTGATCCCTAAAGTGACTCACGAGCCAAAGAATGTTGCTAAAATTCAAGAGCCAGTGGAGGCCCCAAGGCCACCACCACCTTTCCCCCAGAGATTGCAGAAAAAGAATGATGATCGCATGTTCACAAAATTTTTCTCTATGTTGAGCCAGGTTCAATTGAATATCCCACTTGTTGATGTGCTTCTTGAAATTCCAAAGTATGCTAAGTACATAAAAGATATAGTGGCTCACAAGAGAAGATTAACTGAATTTGAGACAATGACACTTACTGAGGAGTGCACTTCAAGGGTCCAAAATAAGCTCCCTCAAAAGCTTAAGGATCCTGGCAGCTTCACGATTCCTGTGCGCATTGGTAATATTGATGTGGGTCATGCTATTTGTGATTTGGGGGCGAGCATAAATCTGATGCCCCTGTCTTTGTTCAAACAATTGGCCTGAGAGCTCCAAGGCCCACTACTATGATGTTGCAGTTGGCTGATAGATCGATAGCACACCCTGAAGGGGTGATTGAAGATGTGTTGCTGCAGATTGGGAAATTCATCTTCCCTGCTGATTTCATTATCCTCAATTATGATGCTGATGAACTGGTTCCAATCATATTGGGGCGACCTCTCTTAGCTACTGGTGATGCAATTATCAAAGTGAGAGAGGGAAAGATGATTTTGAGGGTAAATGACGAAGAAGCAGTTTTTAATGTCTACAAAGAAATCCAACTTCCCCGCCACTATGAGGAGCTCTCAATGATATCTGTTGTTGAGGCTGATGAGAAGATTCATTATTCGAGTGTATATCTAGACGATTCTCTAGAGAAAGCACTTATGTTGCTTGATAGCCTGGGGGCTGACGAGGAGGTTGAGGAGATGATGCACATCCTAGATACATCTTGTGCGTACATGTAAGGGATACACCCCTTTGAGCCTTTGAATAGGCCAGAGGGACCTCCTCCAAAGCCGTCAATTGAGGAAGCCCCAAAATTGGAGCTTAAACCTCTTCCACCTCACCTGCAATATGCTTATTTGGGTGACTCTGACACTTTACCTGTTATTGTTTCTTCGGACTTGTCTAAATTGCAGGAAGAAAAGCTGTTGAGAGTGCTATGTGAGCACAAACGAGCACTTGGGTGGACGATGTCTGACATTAAGGGCATTAGCCCAGCCTTTTGCATGCACAAAATCCTCATGGAGGACGGACACAAGCCCAATGTAGAGCAACAACGCCGACTCAATCCAATCATAAAAGAAGTGGTAAGAAAAGAAGTGATTAAGTGGCTTGATGCAAGTATTGTATTTCCTATCTCAGACAGCAAATGGGTAAGCCCAGTTCAATGTGTACCCAAGAAAGGGGGGATGACTGTAGTAGTTAATGAGAATAATGATTTAATCCCTACAAGAACTGTCACCGGGTGGAGAATTTACATTGATTATAGAAAATTGAACAATGCCACCCGGAAGGACCACTTTCTCCTCACCTTTATTGACCAAATGCTTGATAGATTAGCTGGTCAGGAGTACTAATGCTTCTTAGCTGGTTACTCAGGGTATAATCAGATTGCTATAGCCCCAGCGGACCAAGAGAAAACCACATTTACGTGTCCTTATGGCACATATGCGTTCAAGAGAATGCCCTTCGGTCTTTGTAATGCATCTACGACTTTTCAAAAATGTATGATGGCTATTTTTACTGACATGGTTGAGAGGTTTGTGGAAGTGTTCATGGAATCTGTGTTTGGATGTTCTTTTGATAACTGCTTGATGAACTTTGATAAAGTACTTGCTAGGTGTGAAGAAACTAACTTGGTGCTAAATTGGGAAAAGTGCCATTTCATGGTACGTGAAGGTATAGTTTTGGGGCACAAGGTATCCAAAGATGGTT